AAGCAAAACACTCCTCTGGAGGCTTTTCTCAGAGGAAAAGATGTTTTTGCTCTTCTCCCGACTGGTTTCGGCAAGAGTTTGATCTATCAATTGGCTCCTCTTCGTCGTTGCTCTGTTACGTCATATGCTTCGTTGATCTGATTGGTTTGTTTGGCCCGTCTATCACCAACATAGGCCAATCAGCTAACCAGTATTTTTGCCCCTTCCCAAAGTTACTTCTACGGAAGGTTTCCAGATGGATATGCGGAGCTAATCCATCTGGCGGAGTCAGGTTAATAGAGATGTAGATAATAGTCCAAATGTTTACAATATGCTTAAACTCTTATTTAATACGCAAAATCCCCTCTCAATTCAATTTAGCTACACATTATCATCTAGATTTAGGTCTGATTTTGACTGGGCCATTCTAACTCATCACTATGCTTAAATATAAAGAATGGAAAGTTCCACTTCAGTCTTTCTGAAGCTGTGATGTATTTAACTTTACCAAACTTTCTATGAACTACGACCTGCTTCCCTGTCCCTTCTGCACAGCATGACGCTGCCACCACCACATTATGTGGTTGGTGTTAGGATGATGTTCAGTGTTGGTTTTTCTTTTTTCCGCCACTGTCATTGCCGACCAGAGAGCTTCTATCATGAGTATCTGTGTCTCTTACAGGGCTTGTCGCCGACCATAAATAAAAAGCCTTGTTTTTTTGGCCATTTTCCCGAAAATAGAAAATAGGCTTGTTAAACACAAAATGTTTGTCAATAGAACCTCCCTCCTGAGCTGTAGATCTCAGCTCCTCCAGAGTAACCCTCTTGGTTGCTTTTTATAACAGCACTAGTCAGTTAATTTGATGCCCATGTTTTTAATGATGAATCAATTATTGACCCAAATGTTCTCCAACAAAACTCTGAGGCCTTCGCAGAACAGTCGATAGAAAATTACACTACTGTGGACGAAGATTATGAATTTGGAGACTTCTGAGGGTGATTGGTTGCATCTAATTTTATTTTAGGGTATCAGAGTAAAGGCTTCTTAAAACAAATTCACACCTCACACATTTGCTTTTATTTTTGAGAACGTTTTGTCACTTTCCTCTCACGCTGCAGTCATTCTCTACTGTATATACTGTAGGCAGTATGCTGAGCTGCACAGCAGCTACACTCAAAACGCTACAAGCACTGTGTTTCTCCAGTCTACAGTAGCATAAAAACAGAATTTCTATGTTTTAGCTTAATTTAAAAAGATGGAAAGAAAAGAAAGACTTTCTTCTGCTGTTATCTGTCACCTTTTTTAATAGGCTAATCACTGAGAGGCTGTCCACAGATGAAGCCATTACACAAAGTGTTTTCTAAGGAACTAAGATCCACCTTAGCTGTGTGTAGTGTAAGAGCTCAGTCATTTATAGTTAGTAGAAATTCCTGCGGTGACAGCCTGCCTGTAAAGACATGTGCAGCAAGCTGATAAGAAAATTGGAGCCAACGTCTGAGTTGCTTTACTGCAGACTGGTGACAAAAGGCCAAAGGTGAACCCCAATAGGCTTCTGGTGCATAGAGGGCAGGTTGGGCACCAGAAATAAGTGCACTCATCTATACTGTTAAAATTCATTGTGGGTTCTTTTTCTTTCCAGCTTTGTGCTGTTGTTCTACTCATCCTTTATAAGATGTCATCATTTGTTGGCACGGCTCTAGAGTTTATGGTTCCATTTACATTAGAAGAAACCAATATTTGCATGCTTTGAAACGGAGCCGAGAGGCAGCCAGGAATGTTTTTAAATGATCAGTATCAATAAAACGGCAAAGAGTCAAGCGTGCTTCTGTGCTGCAGTTGGATGGAGGCCTTAGTCCTCAATGCGGCCGACCCGGGTTTGTATCCGACCTGTGGTCCTTTGCCGCATGTCTCTCCCCCTCTCTCTCATACCCTCTTTCCTGTCAGCCTACTGTCGAAAAAACGAGCCACTAGTGCCCTAAAAACTCCAAAAAAAATAAAATAATTATAATAATTTTTATTTTTAAAACCACCAACAATAGCAACTGAGCCTGTTGATAGTGTATTGTTGGGATAGACCAATCCATTGGTCAATATTAGCATTTCTATTTTCTTGTATCACGTTTTTCTCACAAAACCAAACATTCTTTTAATTTTGAATTCTGAAATTCTGCAGGACTTTGTGAAAACCCATTTTGTATCAGTAACTTAGATTTGCATTGCTGAAAGTAGCCAAACTGCAACAAAGACTACTTGGACTCTTATTGCTGTAATCAGCTAAATACAGGAGTTTGACTCCTGGAATCGTTTCAGTTTTTATTTGTTTTGTTTGTTTTGTTTTTTTGCAAATTTAAGTGTTTGTTCAGATTTGCGTTCATGTGTTGGTCTGCAGTGAGTCTTCCACTGCACTAATTAAAGCATGCTGGTCGGATCACGTTCTCCATTTGTGTGTAAATACTGTGTATACTTTTACTCTACTGTAAAGAAATATCTCCTACCAGATCTTGCACATTAAAACAGAATATGAGGTTTTCTCTAAGTGCTGTGGCTTTTACTATGGTTACTTTGTATTTAGTTTTTGTTTTATGAGGTTCTAAGACCCGTCCCTGGTGTGCCCTACACCTCCACTGCAACACTTTTGACACGGGGGGAAAACCCTTAATATTTGAACTTTAAAAACATTATAACCCAACTGAGATAAAGTAAGTCTCTATATCCATTTAATCCAATAAGGGGTTCAAGGCTTTTGTATCTATTAAGCAAAATTGAACACTGAAGACAAGGATAAGCCTTTTATTACATTAACTTTTTTCTTCTTTGACTAGACTGGTATTTGCCTCTAGCAGTAAGATTTTTATGTGGATTGCAAAAACCTTAACTTGTACAGGCCTGTGTTTCTTGGATACAGTGCATTTGGCTGCAGTCTGTGTAGAAAATTGCTTTTTCTTCTGCAATAAGATCCAGTTTGGAAGGGTAATGCATGAATAAATTGGAGTGAGTTGACAAGCTGTAGCTTGCTTTTCTATAAACTTTAGATTTTATCCCACATTTAGCCGATTTAAAGAGTATTATATACTGTGTCGTCAGTCAGTTGTATATTTGGTTTATACCTTTAATTTAGATCAATCTCTTTTTTTTCCTCCTCGAAGTACATCAAGATCCCAGCTCCAACACCAGAGTTACCTTCAGCTCTGCGCATCTTCTCCTTCTACTTATCCAGTGACAGCAAAGACCAACCACAAGCCAGCTTCGACTGCGTCCATCAGTACATCTCAAGGTATGACAAAGGTCACACGCCGTTATTTTCATTTTTACTGTCCTATACTGATTTTTAGTTTCTTTCAAGGTCCAGACTGCAGTTTCCAATCTCTATTGTTTTGTTGCTTTTTTCCCTCAGTACAATGCATAGATAGCAAAAAGAAAAAGAGATTCATGTAATTTTAACAATGCAGCAGGGAATTGAGGAACAAGATTTTATTTTTCAAAACGTTTGTTCTATACTTCGATTTATTGCCAATAAAGTGCATCCTGGTGGTTAATGTGTTACTAAACAAAAAAATCTTTGTGTGTTGATGCATTTAATGAGCAAAGAAAAAAAGATTTTTCTCAGTATCCGACAAGTCGATCATAGATCAGAGCTAAACTAGTTTCTTATCTTCGGCTGTTTGATTGATGCATCTGTGATTTTCATTTCTTGTAAAAATGCAAATCAGCATAGACCTGTTTTCCCCACTGGGATATATTTGCAAATTAATCAATCTCATGGTTGTGATCTTGGGTGGAAACTGTTCACAGCTCATCAATTGCTCCATTTTTAAGATACTCTACTCCTTTTTTTTATTTTCTCTGTGCGTTTAAATCACATGAGAGGCCAAATTATTTATATTTGTTCTAGATGGATCCTTTTATTTCTCAAACTTTGGGAACATTTTTATCTGGAAGGCAGATTGTGGTATGATAATCATAATTAAAACGACCACATTTAGCACATTAAACTTGATCTCACTGCCTTTATTTAGAAAGTAACCGCTGATCCTTGATTGATTAAGTCCTTTTTGAAGCGTTTGGCTGTTCTGTTAATTTTCTACCAGCTCTCAGAATAATAAAGAGGGATCAGTGCTCCTTTTGTTTTCACGACATGACCTCTAAGGGTTTATATCTGAAATTATTCCCATGCAGCAAATTTAATTGTGTTGAAAGCAATGTAAAAGTAGAAGAACAAACTTCATCCTACTGACAGGCAGTGCGTAGCTAGAAGACTGGGAGGGGATCAGCTCCATAGAGTCAGAAAACTCTGGTCACTTCTGTACTTTTTTTGGCTTCTCCTTGAATTGACTTTAACAGTTTGTTGCGGCTGTTTAAAAAAAAAACAGAAAGACAGACATGCAGCCTCACTGTTTTCCTAACTTGGTTATCTTTGTGAGTCTCTGCTCCCTGACATGCACAAAAAAAACACAAATCCCACCAAATAACATTTTAGATTAACCAGTTAACCTAACCTGGATATTTTTGGATGGTGCAAAGGGAGCCAGAGAGACCATAAAGAATCCCCTTTAGGAACGTCCCATTCCTGATTCAAACCCTCCTGCAGTGAGACAGGAAACTTTGACACTGTCGTACATTTTCTTTCCAGCTCTCGCCTTCAGGGGTTCATTTAGCAAACTCTTACCTCTGTCTAAGATGATCCCTGTTGTGCAAGTTTTGCTGTCTGAGCCAAAGTAATCCCAGTGGTTTTCCATCGGCTCTGCGCTGTCTTCCACCGGTCTAAATAAAGCCTGTGACATAACATACAGTTGTAGATTTGTCCAAGAGAAAGTCTTGCACGGAGCCATAAACACCAGGATTATACTTTGCCTTTTTCTTTGTTTGGCAGCGACGGCCGTGAGCAGCTGGAGGGCCAGGGGAGCATCCAGGACAAGATCACCGTGTGCGCTACGGATGACTCCTACCAGATGACCCGAGAGAGGATGTCTCAGATGGAAAAGGACAGCTGGAGCCGCTCAGCCATCGAGATCAAACCTGGAGCCTCACATCCCAGTAAGATTAGACCAAAGAAAATGCACATGCACAACCCCGTACCCGATCCTGAGAGCATTTCTCCTCGTGCAAGCTCTGTTTAAAAGCTGCCCTTTGCATCGCTTATACAAGCTTACTTTCAGAACGATTTGCAATTTTTTCCACTATGTCAGACTCACCACCGGTAAGTGAAAATGGGGACAACACGTAGAACGGTCTTACGTAAACATATCACCAGAATGATTGACAGTTAGGAGAACGACTTATTTAGATGATCCACCCAGAAAAAGAAGATTATCCACTATACCTTTAAAGGAAAAGGCCGGTCAGCAAGGAATAATCAATGGATCATTATTTATACCTAAAACTAATACGTTTGCAGTGATTTAATGAATTTAGCGTTAATCAGTAAAAACATATCTTTCGTCATGATCAGAGTCTGGGAGCGGCCATTTTTGCCCAAATATATCCAATCCAATCCACTTTACTTATATAGCACGATTTCAATAAACACAAGGTTTCCAAAATAAAAGCACTGCCCACACAGGATAAAAAATATGCATGTGTATACATAAAATCTAAATCAAATATACTCCTGCCATCTTCCGGCAGTGACGTCACGGTGCGGTAAGCCTAGCGCCATTCTCCCCGCTTTACAAGCAAAATCATTGGGAGCTACTAGACACATCTGCAATCAACAACAATTATTGAAGATTTTCAGAGGACTTCACCATTGAAATTCACCAGAGCTATAGTGAAACTGACAATGCCCACGTGCATGGCAGTTGGATGTTGGAATACATCGAGTAAAAGGTGAAAAAAAAAGAGTTATATCACCTTTCCGATTCCCGATCCTCCACGGACGGGTTCCTCGTTGGATTGCCAACTTTAAGAGGGAGGATTTGCTATCAAACTTCTAGCCAACATTTGGAAGAAGAATGTTTTCAAGATGACTTGGATGATGCGTTGTGACAAACACCAGATACAGCACTGGGACTTGATCAACAGCCAATACCGCACCATGACGTCACAAACCAGTAGGTGGCAGTAGTGTTCATTGACAAAGATGGATCCCTCCAGTAAAGCACATTCAAATGAACGTTACCCTTACGGTAATTAAAACAGTATGTAATAATTTTATATTTAAAGTACTTTCAGAAGTTTGTATTTTGAATATGACCGAGCTCCTTCTTCAAAATGGGGAGAGAAGAGAAGGGCTGTGGATGCAACAGTTCATCATGAAATCAGAAAGGGAAAATGAACAGCACCAGTAAAAGCCTTTCGAATATTTGTGTAAGTTGAGCTACACTGCTCTGATCATTGCTTGAAGCTGAAAACCAGACATTTTCCACTTGTGATGAGTAACGAAACCAGATGTGCAGGCTGGCCAGTCACTGGTGAAAGTCTTCTCTTTGATGTTTTTGTTGGACTCTGCTTTTCAGTCTCAGAGTGTCTATTTTATTCACAGATGGGTTTTGAATGCATTTGTCTGATTATCTGGTGGGTGTGTTCAGTACCACTTATCTCTGCTGAGAGCAGGCCATGGGGCACCAAGATATAGCTTAAAAAAAACTAATTAATGCATATCTCCAAAATATACATACTGTTCTTACAGCAATGATAAATACATTTATGGCGAACTAGGAAATAGATGTTTTACCCTGCAGTTGTCTGAAAGGGCAACTGCAGGGTTTTTTAATTCTTGGAAACCAAGGACACTTTGCAGCTCTTTAATCATAATAGATAAAAATAAACTGGACAGCTTCCTTGCTACATTGTTTGCCTTAACTCCAGCCTTTTGCTGTGCTTTTGCAATAATTTTTCTTGGCCCATTTCTGGACCCCTATGTGGAGGCTGGAGCTCCAGGGGAGCTGAACCTCCAGCTGATATGGACCAAATTTAGACTCTAAATTGTGTAACATGAGCTTTTAAGCTCAAGCAAGTGTAAGTGTATGGCTAAAGGGATCACTTCAAACTACTCTCTGAGCTCTACTTTGAATCCCAGCACATTTTCCCATCTGCAGAACACATAAAACACCAAATCTGCATCCTCATCAAGTACCCTGCATTGTTTGTTTAACCTTTGAGCGTCTGCACATGCTGTTATCATAAGATTACCATTTCTTCATGTATTGGGATTTTACCTGATACAGCAACAGAAAACAGAAGTGGAAAGAAATTTTATTTTTCATTCAATATGCTTCATTTGTGTTAAAAAAAAACAAAAAACAACTAAACATAAAAACAAGGATTCGTAATTCCTGAATGAAAGGTAGCAGAAAGTTGAAGAATCTTATCCGCACCCTTTACCTAAAAGCAAAACATAAATAATGAACTAAATACAAAAAAACCCCCAATACAATTAGAATTAAAATAGCTATACATGACGGAAGAAAAAAAAATAATGAAATTAAATATACGGCATCTAAAACTCGCATTTTACTTGAAGTTTATTTTCTTAGTAAAATGGGGTTGAGACCAGAAAATAAAAAATTAAACATGTTTTCAGCTTTCTTTAATCTTGGTCTCCTAAATACAATTTAGTGCATGATAGCTCACCTAATTATTAAGTAGTCCAGTTTTTAATCATTTTATATTAGTGGAAAAGCTGCAGTTCTGGGTTCTCTAGGTTGATTATAGAACACGAGCGAATGAAGAGCTTTGACTGATCCAGGGAGAAGGTTTGTCCACCTTTAGAGGAACAGATATGGGCTTGTGGTAACTGCAGAAATCCTCTGCTTAGGTGGAGGAATCTCCTGAGTTGTAGACTTATATCAGACAAATAACAAAATGTGACAGCTAAATTATTTTTTAAATTAAGCCATTAAATTTTTTTTTTTTTTTTTTTTTTTTTACATAAGGCATATAGACGACATGGGAAACAGGTGGAGGTGATCTGGTCAGGTGATGATATTGTCCATTACCCTGAACAAAAGACCTCACCTGTTAAACATGGTGGTGGCATAATCATGATGTGGGGATATGAGAGAAGATGGATGGATAAAATAATAGAGTAAATCTGGAAGATAAGCGAGTTAAGGAAACATAAAACTGGTAAAATAAATTCAGTCCACATATAGAGAAACACCAACTCTAAGATACCAGCAGAACTGCAAGAGGCTTTAAATCAGGGATGCCCATCCCAGTCCTCCAGAGCTACCATCATGTAAAATTTTAGAGGCATTTCTTCTCCAAACATCCGAATCAAATTAGTGGCACGTTATCAGTCCTAAGCTGAGCTGAATCAAACGCTAAGAGAAGTCGGCTGTTATCCTACATTCAGACCCGATGCAGTCGAAGCAGAAAGAAAGCTTCTGCTGCTTCATTTATGTTGCTTGTACATATTAAGGTCAGAGCCGCCTCAGGAGCATCTTTAAAGTTCCTGAAGTGCTTTCAGTTAACTGTCTCCAGATACGTCTGATGCTTCTGTTGCTCCTGGGTTCAATGGCAGAAAGCGGCTTTGCTCTATTTGCTGTGATCAGTGGGTAAAAAGTAGTTTTAATATATTTTTAAGTGAGAAAGTCCACCTGAAAACAACATCTGTGCAGTCAGTTCATCAAGATTATGATCCTGCCTTCAAATATTATTTCGCTGTGGGACCAGCACAATCCCCCATACACCAGTGGTGCTCTAGCACTGGAAAACCCCTTCAACGGCTGCCTCTGGCCAAGTCGCCTCTGGGTTTTTCGCTATTGTTGGCGGCGGCTGGAAGGCATTTTTCATGTACGTAATCAATAAACTGTTTCAGAGGAGTGATCGTAGTGATATGCATCAGCATTGCTGTGTCTGTCTCCCTGCCAGCTCCAAGATCAGCTTCTCTGATTGGTTGATGTGGCGCGTCGAGCAGCAACAGTTATAGTTTTCCAACTCCAGCATCTGCTGCTTCTGAAAAGTACGTAATGCGCGTCAGATGCTCAGAAGCTCATGAGGCGCTGCTCCTGCTGCTTTAAAGGCGCTGCAGGACGTTTTGTTGCACCTTATCAACCACTGACTTTGTATGTAAACCAGCTGCTTCTGCAGCGTGCGGCCTGAAGGTAGCATTAGATCCTGGTGTTTTGGTGAAGAGATGCATCTAAAAGTTGCTTGATGGTAGCTCTTAAAAGGCTACCATCATGGACTAGGGTACTCCTGCTTTAGATCAAGTAGAATCTATAACAGGACTTACTATCTTTTTCTATTCAAAGAAGAATTTGAGAAGCATTAACCTTTTATTTTATGCAAAGCCAAAGTCGGCATATTCCACACCTGCTGCTGTGACTACATGGAAAGGTTTCTAAAGTCAATACAAGTGAAGGAAGTTGTTTGTGAAACCATACCCAGAGGTTACAAGCCCTAGTTCTGTTATTTTATATATTTGCATGAAACTCACTCCAAAATATGAGGCAGAAAAGTTTGGGAACATAATAACATGCAAAGTGTAATCAATATTCGTAAGCCCGCATTCAGTGGTTGAACAGAAACCTCTCTTTTCCTAAGCCTCCCCCCCGCTCTGACCTTTAAAGCTCAGATTAACCCACAGCAGGATTAGCAAAGAGAGAAGATAGCCTTCACGGCTCAAACGTGCTCAGTCTACTTGATGAAGTAAGGCAAGGAAAAATCTATTATATGTTTACGTCATTAGAAAAAAAACAAACCACCAAACATTTAATTGTAGCTTCGTTGATATGTCCATTATCTTATCTCTATAGTCTCTATGTATAAAAATCTGAACACTTTCATAACTCCGTTTCACCATAAATGGTTTTTTCATAAAAATGTTTTCTCATTATCTGTTTGTTCAGGTAAAAGTTTCAAGTTCCAAAAAAAACCCGCTCCCCCAGCTGCTCCTGACAGTAGCTTCTACAAGCAGTCAGCCAACAGTCGGAGGAACAGCAGCATACCTGCCGCCATCCAGAAGCCCCTGAAGGAACGCATCATCCACCTGCTGGCCCTTAAGCCTTACAGGAAGCCAGAGCTTCTCCTGTGGCTGGAAAGGGAGCGAGCCGGAGCAAAGGACAAGGCTGAGCTTGGTGCTGTGCTTGAGGAGGTAAAAACACATCCTGTGAAAACTATTAATACCCCTTGAACATTTTCACTGGACTTTTTAGGTAATAAAACAAAACTGGCATACACATACAATCCTGTTTCCCTATCCTTGTGAGGACTTTCCATTGACTTTCATTCATTTCTAACCCATTTCTGCATCCTGACCGTGGCCCTTACCCTAAACCTAACCATTACAAGTTCATGCCTAACTCTGATCAAAACTCGATTCCTACTCTGTCCTAACCCTAAAAGAGCAATGGTACCCATGGGTACCAGACACTGGTCCCCACAAGGAGCAGTCGGTCCCTGCAATGTCCTTTTTTTCCAGAAATTGTGACCCACAATGTAGCAAATGCACACAAAGATACACTCTTTGTTTTTAACTGCAATCATAACTGTTATTGTCTACTTCTACAATCTTTGACCACCTCAAGACAAGGTTTTCTAAAGTCATAGGGAATTCATATTTAAATGTCATATCATTCTGGCTTAAACATTTATATAAATGTACTCTTTATCAGACGATATTATTCCAAAAGTTAGAAAATTTCTATTTAAAGAAACAAATCCTGTCTTAAAATGAGCAGGGTTTTTTTTTTCTTCGTTATCTTATGCAGGGCAGTTAGTTAGCTTGTACACCTAAATTCGGCCAATCATTAATCAACGGCCATCTGTCAATCAAATGTTTTCGGTCAAAGCATCTTGATTCATATGTCACAGCTAATATAGGCAACAATTGAAATAGGAATCATTATTTCCTTTCCCATTGAGTTCCGTCCCAGTGTTCACGGGGATGGACGTCTGTATCTTCAGCAGGCGTAGAGCTAACAGAACAGGCAGCTTTGCGAGGCAAGGGCTCAAACATGTAAGGCTGAAAGCCTTCTACACCAAACCAAGCTTCTGCCGCCCTGGCGTCCTCTTCCACAACATCTTCGTCCCCGCTTTCCTCCTCTAATTAAAAAATTAATGATGGAGGAGACTCATCCATTAACTCCGACACAAAACTGTCCTCCTCTTGCATGTTTCCTCTATCCATAGCGTTACTTGACAGTGTCGTTGCTAAGTGCGACTTGGTCCTGATGTAATTTCCCATGGGGAACAAACTAGCACTAAGTTTAGCAAGATGCTTCCGACAATCCGGCTACAACCAAACTTACCTTCTGCCTCAATAATCCAGCCCCCTTGATAAACGACCAATCATATTTACTTTATTCACTGGTGTAAAGTCGGGCACCACTCTGGAGAATTCGGAGATGCAACGTTTGGAACAGCTGTTTCCCTGCGACTTTAACAAGTCCCCTTTAAAATGTTCACACACATTTCCATGTGAATTAGGTGTGGGACTTTGACTAGGACAATCTAATGCAAATCATTTCCTTTAAAACATTCCATTATGGCTCTTACTGTCCAGGATTGGGGTCAGTCCGATCCCGGAAGAGCCCCCGAACAAGTCCCCAAACCTCAATGGGGGATGTGCAGTGTTAATTTTCTGCAACACTTGTTTTCATTCTTCTAAATGTTTTCAACGTCACCTTATGACAAAATGCGTGAAACAAATTTTCTATTGGTACCTTTAGGTAACTGCTTTCTTCGTGCTACTTTCCTATATAGTCCAGATTTATAGATATATAGTAGTAGTAGTATAATAAATGTAGGAACGTTCTACCATCCTCCAGAGATAACAGGCCCTTTTGGTTGCTTCTCATTGGTCTCTTGATTGGCTATTGCTCTCCTAAACAAGCCTGTTAATATATGGACAACCATGTTTAGTGTTTGCATTTGTGCTATTGTTTTCTTTATCACCTCTAACTGTTTTTAAACTATATGCATAGGTGCTGTAGGAAATACCCGATTTTATGTATATACACAATTTCAAAAAAATTTTTTTCATTGTTATCAAAGCAGGAAGACACTGTTTTAATAAAGTTGGAGACAGTTCACTACAGCCACAAGCAGAGTTATTACATCCTTTTAATCACATTACAGAACATGGCAGAAAATTGATGAGAAACAGATGTAGGGAGGTAAAAAGAAAACAACTTTGACAGTACTCTCCTTACAGGAACCAGGCAGGAAAAACAACAGCATGTATCTTATACGAAACAAGATAACAGTTGTGAAGGAATCCTTCATACAAAATACAAGGCCACAGATTAGAAGCTGAAGGTTCTTACGGGTTCATTCAGGTTCTTCTGCTCATTAAAAGGAATATATGGTTATGTACAAAATATCCCACCACAATTTGGTGCTATTTTAAAGACCCATGATCTTTCTTTCAAGTCCAGTAAAATCTTAAAAGACAAAAAATCTGAGGTTGGAAAAAAATCATAAATACTCCTGCAAGGCACTGTAGACTTATGTTACGTCCATGTTGCTAAAGAAAGCCTTCATTAAGGCTTGTCCGTTGTAAATGTAGTTTTGGACCTGTCCCTAACATGGAAACATAAATCTACCTTCATATTAATCTGTATCTTGATGTGAAAATAGTTTCTTGGCACCAAAGACAGCCTAAACATGGTGTACAAACCTTTAAAAAATTGCCTCTAACAGCATTAATTTATAGCAATTAGGAATATTTCACACTTTCCATTTGAAACGCCACACTGACAACCTTCCTGGATGCTAAAATGCGTGTAACCATGGCGCTGCAAATTATAAACCAGCATCACATCTAGCAGACCTCTTTGTGTTTGTGGTTAATGTAGGTCATGTGTAATTTTTTTTTTTTTTTTTTTACCGATCACAACTGTTTGTGTGTTCTTCTCAGCCTATCAATATGTGCACTCAAGGGGGTGGTTGTATAGGTTGTTGTGTCTAATTAGGTCAGTGCTGTAATTGCCTCTTCAGAGATGCTGTTTGCTGTTGGGCTGTCCGCCGTGTCAGCAGGCATTACAATGATGGATGTCCTCAGAGAAAGGCGGCCCGATAGGATGAGGCTATCACTGACAGGGAAAGTGTTCGGCTCTCAGGTGGCAACAAAAGCTTAGGGTTAGTTTAGCTTTTTAGCAGATAAAAAATATGATAAATTAGAAAATATAAATAGATTATGAATCCTCAGTTCCTATCCGGCCTATATGGAGACTGTTTTGAATTTTTTTAAAAAAGTTATGCCGAATATCTAAGGTTTTTCATGCCGATAAATTTAGTTTTATAAATATTCATCTGAAAAGTAGGAGTTTATATTTGCATTTGGAGCCAAAGGCAAGAGGCTCCTCTAAAAACAAAACTGTATTTAAAAAAAATGGTGTACACTGCTTCTTCTTTTCTAAATATAAGACTTGAGTTGCTAAAGAATAAGGTCTCTCTTATATGAAATGTTCTTGTGTCACTAAATCTTGCCTAATTTCTCACACAGCTGCTGTTACGGACACTATAAGGCATTTAGTTATATCCTCCAACATGAATACAGGATGTTTTCGTTTGATCCACTTTGCTCCTTTCATGGACGGAGGCTTCCCTTGTTTTAGGTAGCTAAGGTGAACCCTAAAGACAGCAGCTACTTCCTGAAGGAGGATTTCTACAAACATGTGCAGAGGGACTGGCCAGGCTATACAGAGGAGGAGAAGCAGCTGATCTGCAGGCTTCTATCCAGGTGAGTAAGGCGTAGGGGCCTCGTACAAGCATTTCTAGTGGGACAGGATGCTCCATATTTTTAACTAATGGAATATATGCTTAATATAACTGCATTTATGGTGAATATCACCAATTTCTGCAGAAGTTTACGTTAAACTCTCTGCAGTTCTGTTGCATGTGTAGTGTTGCATTTTTCCATGGAATGACTTAATTTACAGTCAATGTTATGACACAGAGACTTTCAGCCTTAAGGGCTGGTTATACTCCTACAGCAGTGTGTCGCAGTTAAGCCTGGTTTATACTCAGAAACCAGGTAGTCTGCATGAGTGTCGCAGTGAATCCAAATGTGCCCCCGCCCCTTCCGCTGACACTCTGCTGCCCCTCTCCAAAATTATAGGTGACTGCAGACAGTGCCGCAGACAGGAGGCCTAGGATTGGTCAAATCTACATCTGCTCTACACTATGAGTATTTCCTTGGTACCTTACCGGCTTGTTTGTTGTAGAAAACGACTCATGAAGTTGGACCAGCTAGGAGAGTGAGGTGTTCTAGAACGCTGGGACCCTATTTCTACCTGGATCCCCGCTCTTTTTGGTCCTCATGTCCCGCCGTTTTCACACAAACTTGCTCCCACTCCCTCACTGCCTCGGCCTATCTAGACCAACAGCTAGTTCTTGATTGACCCTCTTGTGTTGAGGCGTGGAATAACATAGTACAGACCACACTTCAATACTGAGCATAAATCAAAAATATCTGCAACAAGCTCACTGTGACACACTGCTATGGGAGGATAACCAGCCCTTTAGCTTGTCGCAGGTATGACAAACTAGGTCGCAGGTGCTTTGTTATTCCATGCCACAACGAAGAGGGACAGTCACGAAATAGTTACGATTGTGGGTGTCTGTGTGTCGGTTTGACGAGCTTGTTCCCTGTCTACAACCCCTCATTCAATGCCGGACGAAGCACAGTTTTCCTGTGAGTGTTCCTGAAAGACTGGCCATGGCGCTGCGTGTTTTGGTGTGAAAACCAACAGACTGTCACACAGAGCTTCAAACTAGCATCTTGTAAGGTGACTGGGATAGTGTCTGAGGTGTGCCAGGCGTTGTGGCTACAGCTGGAGTTTCTGCCATTAGGCACCAAACAGGGAATACTCAGAGAGTGGAGCGGATGTAGAATTGACCAATCAGAGGCCTCCTTTCCCTCCTACCTGCGACACTAAAGGTGGCACTGTGTGCGGTCACCTCAGTTTTGGGGAGGGGGGCATATCTGCGTTAACTGTGACACACACGCAGGTAACCTGGTTTCTGAGCATAAACCTGGCTTTACTATGAGTGTTGGACTGGTACTAACCGTCTCCTTCTCTCAGCCTCACTCATTTTTATGCTGCCTAATCATCACTGCATCGTCCACAGCTGTCCCACAGTCTGATTCATACTCTTCTCTAAATCCATGACCCCTTTGGGTATTCCCCTTTCAGTTTGGCATTTGTTTGTGTTCCACAGACTCTGGGTTTATTTATCCTGTCTCTCACTGTGTGTTTAACAGGAAACTTCAGCCTCACATCAGCAATAAATCAAGAAACATTCAAGCACACTTGTCAATACCTGCAACCCCTGAGGATCCAAGTGCAGCGAAAAACCCAGCTGTGGTAAGTTAAGGTTTTCTAAATAACCTTAACTGCAAAAAGATCTAGAAATAAGTCAACATGTCTAAAATCAAGTGTATTTAACCTTAATCTGAGCAGGTAAATAAGATGATTTGCCAATGAAACAAGTATTTGTACTCTTAAAAAAAGATTATGAGATATTATGGGATTGAAATAAGACAATGCACTTGTTTTTTCTTATTTTAAATGTAAATTATCTTGTTGCATTTGCAAAGTGTCTTATCTCCTTAATTCAAGAAAAAATGCACTTATTTTAAGAACAAATTACTTAGTGTTAGTAGGATTTAGAAATGTATATTTATTAGAGAAGTGTAGGTTAGTATATGTTTAAAGACAAAAAAACATGTTCATAAATAGCTGTTCTCCAGTCAGGCGTGGATTTGATCCCATTCTACCCAATAGTCAACACCTGAGACAGGAGCTGCCTTTACAGTAGGAATTAGTAATTACCATTTTGGCCAACCTTAAAGCGATTGCTCATTGCATGCGAAGGAACTGATTCATTGTTTGGGATTATTTTTTGGTTTCACACCTGTTTTCCAAATGCAAACTGCACAAAGGTCTTTTCATACTCTCCCCTGGGATGTTTTCCTGTCATCATTCTTTCTGCTGTCTTTTAAAAACATGACTTCACAAGGGTAACAGTCAGGAGCTATTACACAATAAAAGCATGCTTATAGAGCTACAGTAATACATTTAAAACTGGTATTTCACTGTTTTTCTTTTCTTTTCTAATTGTTTGAAGCCGAAATAAAACAATAAATTTGGTTATCTGCAGTCTAACCTGAAACTTTCATAACTTCTTATCTGCACCAACTAGAGATCAACCCATACAGTTTTTTTAAGGCCATTCCTGATACTGGTTATTTTTGACATCAGTCTTAGCGATCCCTAATTTTTGCTGTAGGGTAATTTTTGGCTAATTCTTAAAACTGAAATGCTTTTTCTTCCTCCGTTCACGTGGTTTAAAATGACTCAACAGTAACAACTGTTACACATGTCTCAGTTTAAGGAGAAAAACAAATGTATGCACGTATCGACCAATACAAGAAAAGACACAATTGGCACAGAATATCAAAAAATCATTCTACCTCTAGCACCAAGAGTATTCAATACTATGGAGGTTTAGAAACCTCTGCATCTTCCATTTAGCATCCTAAATTCATCTTCAAGTACAAATATAAATAATCTTTATATTTTCTGCAGATAATCTCCTTAAAATTCAACAAAGTTTAACAAAGCTACATTCTCGCCTAAGAATATCAAACATGCCTCCATTTCCTATGACTCATACTGGGTCAAAGAGTGGTTAAGCTCGTTGAGTAAAGCTCAGATGACAGTGGCAAAAACTGATTACAAATACATATAATACACTTTCTATGACCCAAACTAAACTTTAAGGATGTTTCTAGGCAAGGTTTCTGTTTTTTAAACTCAAATATGGGCTCTGTTGGCAGAGATTTTATTTGATTTAAAAAAATAAAATCCTGAATGTTTTCCTGATACCTAAAACATGATAGGTATATTCCCTTGAGGATGTACTATAATGTACAACTTAAATGTTTCAGTCATCATATTAATGGAAATGTCAGTTTTATCAACACTAATGTTTCCTTTCTTTGTTATTATGTGGGGAAAAACTTTTAAATACATTTTGTACTTAGGACTGAGGAATTTCTCTGCTGCCTTCTTGTTTCTTTTCAGAAACGTTCCGTTCCTTTGGACTCACGGGACAGACTGGCAGCAAAGAGACAAAAACTTTCTGACCAAAGGTCACAACCCCAGTCCAACATAAAGGGAATCGTGAACATTAAGGAAGCACATGATAACGCAGCTGTGACCTTTGACCCCAATCTCAACTCCAGTGCTGAATCCCAGAGGACCGGTGGCCTTACTGGTGACCAGCGTGGCCTAAATGCAGCCCATTGTGACTTTCCTTTCGTGCATACCATGTCTGACGGACATATTTCTGAGAGCAAAGATCAGGACCCCAGAGTCAGCCGGCTCCAAGCACCGCAGGCTAACTCTGACGGCACTCAGCAGCAACAGAACAGCAGCCAGCTCAGAAAGAAGAAATCTAAAAAGCACAAAGATAAGGAGCGGGAAAGGTTAAAAGATGACAAAGCACCTGAATGGCTGCAGCCGAGTCCCGACCTTAAGCAGAATCCACATAAACAAGACAGTAAGACCCAGTTTCTTCTTCTTTTAAATAAACACATTGTCAATACCTGATCCGTCCCAGAAGCACGATCCGATCCGTACCTTCAGCTCATTTGCGCAACCAGATATACATCCGGGTCCCCCTCTATTTTATTTTCTAAAAAAGTCCTAAATTATGTTTTTCCCTCCCCCCAAAAAAGTAAGCTTACTAAACTATAATGTGTTAAAGGTTAATAATGTATTTCCTGAGAAAATAAATGGATTAAAATCCTGTTTGATCACTCGTCTGCGGCAGATCTGTTCCGGAAATAGGATCCTACGCTACCTACTGGAGCTAACTTGTTCAGCTAAGGTTCTACACATAAATCTAGTCTTTTTAAGTTTTATGTTTTCCTTCCCTGTTAACATTATGGTATATAGTGCGTAATCTAAAGAAAGAAACAACTAAAATGCAGGTATATATAGTTTAATCAGATTTTGCCAGACTGCGCAGAACATGACCCATGATGATGTCAGAGAAGCAATTTAACCAATAAAATGTAAAAAGCATCAAAATTGTCTGAGAAGAATCATGAAAAATTTTTTAAAGATGTGATTAATTGATTTTATTGCTCCCACAGTTGAGAAATGTACTTGTTAAATCGGCTTAAATATTCAAAAAAAAGAAGGTGCCAAAGGAAGAAAAGGTGCCTGGGATATATACAGTTTTGGCATAGTATATTAGCATTCTTTAGTGAGTTAAGAATAGAAATGGCACCATAATTACTTTATTTATGGAAACCTGGATGTATATCTGGTTGATGGCACGGATCGTGCTTCTGCTACGGGTCGGGTAGTGATACACATTCACCCCATTCCTCCCATTTTGGGTCCTTCATGGCTTCCATGTGGCTTTTTTTTGTTTTTTATTGTGTCTTACCATCACACCTGTTGCCTCACGTTCTTTAGCCGATGTGTATCTGAATCTGAGCTGTTGTTTTTCACCTCTTGCCACAATTAAAATGTTACTTTAACCACTAGGCTAAAAAAAGAGATGACCGAAGATGGCTTCCTGTTGCTCAGAGTTTATCTAACAGCACCACATGCGGTGCATTTGTTCAGTATTATCTCTTGAGCTTGGCAGTGTTTGCTCCCATGAGCCAGCCCTCTTGAGTCCCTGCAGTCTTCTGTGGCTGAGTGACTCAAAAACAGCTCCACAGGTCCCCTGGCACCCGGTGAGCTGTTAAACTGTCTGAACCGAGGCGGGCGGCACAAACACCCTCATGCTCCTGCGGTTCTTAGGGAAACAAAAACACTAAGCTTAGCGTTCGGACAACAGCTGAGCCTCATGTCTGTGCGACTCTGGCTCAACTCCGCTTAATTTAATTTTCTTAATCTCATGTGTTTGCTTCAGATCCTGACATCACAAGTGCTGCGGCCTCTGAGGAGAAGCCGGATTACGTGCTGTGAGTTCAAACAGGATGCAAAGTAACGGATATGTGTGCTGCTTCCTCTTCTAAATGTTGATTTTGATTAAACGAACAAGACAAAAAACAGATCTTATTAACGGAGGGTTTTTCTGCAAAGAGTCATCAGTCTTATTTTAGTTTCTTTCATTAGCTTTTTGGTGCCATCTTGTGGCAAACTAATATCCTGCAAAAGAAGAATCATCATGTCCTAGATTAGAAATAGACTTTAGAAAGCAAAAGAAAAACAAACTTTTGCTCAGCCCTTCATGCAGTTTTGCTGACATATTAGCACTTTTAACTTGCATGTTTCTTACAACCTCTGTGTTTATGTGTCCTTGTAGAGCTTACGGCCCAATCACGAGTTTGGAGCAAAGGCAGAGATATCAGGAAGATTTCTGTACAGAGTATGATGAGTACAAAGACCTTCACTCCCGGATTGCTGCCATAACTCACATGTTTGTTCAGCTGGGGTCCAAGATCAAGACTCTCTCTCCTGGCACCCAGGAATACAAGGTACGTACATATCTACAGCTCTTCAGGAAACAGAGCGTGCAGCAGGGAAGCAAACATGATTTTTTTTGCAATCTAAATAAATTACAATAACTTGGTAAACCATTCTTTTTCCTCTTTAGAAGATGGAAGACCAAATACTGGAAAAGTACAGCAAGTTTCGCAAGGTAAAGGCGGCTCTTTTATGAGACTCTTCTTGCTCTAATTCTGTAACCACTTTCTTCCCACCAACACATCAACATTTTACAGAAAGATAAATGTCTTGTTAATTCATTGACAAAATACAATAAACTCACTTGATATTTAGAAGAAAAGCTCAATCCGATAACTTTAGTTATTTTGGTCTGTCTACCCAACTTTCAGCGAGAAAATAAACACATTGATTTTACCGTCTTAAGATCAAGCTTTCATTATAAAGGTCCATCCTGACCAGTGTCGTTTGTTTCCCTGTTAAAACAGTTGTACGGTTTAGTTATAGTTTTTCTTTCGTAGAGTTTTATGCTGCATCAAACAAGTTAGAGCAAAAATATCGAATGCACAATTTTATAGGGGGTTTATACCACAAAATGTATGTTGCCTACGGGGATATTGCCTATCACGATAAATTAGCAGTACTTAGTGTTGTCCCAAACCACACTGAGAAATGGCATTTGCCTGACTAGACTATAGCTTTGCGAAAAAATAGGGAAGGAACAAGCTTGGACTATTCCTAAAAAATGCTTCGGTCAACATGACCTTTTTCAGATTTTCTCACATTTGGTCCACAAACTTCAGTAAAGATTTGATGTGATGGAACAATTACTGCATGACTAGAGCGTGTATGGAAAAACTGAAAAGTGTGGTGTGCATTGTAATTCAACCTCTATTCTTTTTCCCATTCATAAGACCAAAAATAAAAAACACTCGTCCTCAGAATTTTACGGTTCTAGTACTGTATATAAATGTTTTTTTGTTTTGTTTTTCCATTTAAAATGTGATCTCGCCGTGGCTGGGGCACTGAACTATATTTATTCACTTGACTGTTGATTGCCCGTTGGTAGTACGGGGTTGCAGTGAACCCACCGTCCACCATATTGGTACTCTCTAGTTAGACCTGTCGCAATATGAACAATACGTGCACTACAGCATTGAACAACGATGATCTCATTTTCAGGGGGACTTAAGACGTTTAAAATAAAGTTACATTCATCACTTTGACACACACTTGCTGTTTAATAGCATAAGTAGATTACTTTAAAATAGGCACATCACATTGCATAGTCATTATGAAGTAAATGAAGTCTCTAAATCATGTAATATAACATATTATACAAATCCATCACAATAACATTAATGTGTTAATGGAGCATTATAATACAGATGAGCCAAAAGTGCTTTGATGGCATATATACTGTACTATAGGATACATCGGCGTATAGGTAGATTTTCTTGGTTACTTCATCCACTGACTTTAAAATTGCAGCTGTCAGGAGGGAAAGAAATATGGAGTTACAGAGGGCAATATCAGAAGATGGCACGTTCAAACAGACCGGAAAAATGCCTACAGCTAAAGAAAAGCTTATAAAAAATAGCAGAGTGAGAGTAGGAGTTTCAGCGAGGCAGAGGACGTCTGAGTAATAGCCTCATGCAGGTTTTGATTGCATTCGAGTTAAAGTGTTGAAAGATTTCAATTAAACATGTCATTACTGTGCTTTTTATGTTTTATTGTTTAATTGCACAGCTGTTTCAATGCAATATTATTTCAGTTAAAGTCTTAGCACTGCAATAAAAAATAGTTTCTTTAAACAAAATAAGTTTGGTTTATCAGTCTGTTAATTTTTTGTTGATCTTTTTGTTTCGTTTCTTAAAAAACTGGTGCTGGTGAGAGGTCGTGTTAAATCAGGGCTGTCCTATAATTGGGTCAGTACGGTAAATGGTCCACTTGAGTGTAAATTCACCTCAGGATAAATTCAGCAGGTAAATTCAGTCAATCATTAAGGTGAGATTAAAAGAAAAAAAAACCTTTTTGAACAAAACATCTAAATATTGCCTACACCCCTGTCCTCTCCCCATGATGGAACACAGTGGTGGCAGTATTATGTTACCAGGATGCTTTATATTCGTTTTTCGAATTTCTATTTCTCCAAGCTTACAATTATATGTTGATCCTAAAGGGTATTAGCTGAGTTAGGTGGCTGCTCTAGATGCAAGAACACCTGAAGGTGTTCCATGAATGTTAAGGATGGTTTGTGAATTAATCGGCTATCTTCTCTCTCTCTGCAGAAGTTTCCAGGCTACAGGGAAGAAAAGAAGCGCTGCGAGTACCTTCATGAAACACTGTCATACATCAAACAACTCATCGTCGACTTCGATCTCTCTAAGGCCTCCTCATAGCATTTGCTAAAAACTGTCAACTAGACATACCCAGCTTTGTGTTGAGGTGTTTTTTACAGCGATATAAAGAGTTTTGAAAGAGGACTTCAGCTTTTTCCACCACTTTTACTAAAACACCAGCTGATTCTGTGACCTCTCATTAGTAACTGATTGTGTTGGAGTCTCTCTGAACAAAGGGGAAAATCACTGGAAGGTATTTGGTCGGGATTTTTTTAAGTAGTTCTGATCTTAACAATTCTGAATCTTGTGAAATCATTCCTTTAACACTTGTACAGTTTTCTTTTTTTATATATTCTTTTTGTACTTTTAAATATGTCTATTTGCAGTGTACATGAGTAGCAAATGCTTTCAGAAATTGCCTTGTCTAGGATTAATAGGAGAAGCAGAGAGAACCACATGGGAACAAAAACAAATCGGCTCCTTTTGTCGTCTCCTTTTGAATGTTTTAGATATTATGGCCAATTACAACTGCAAACTTTGAGATATGGTATTGGGATTCCATGCAACAGTGGAATGATTTATGAAATTGAAGGTCAAAGGTGAATGGTTGTATAAGGTAAGAAAAATCATAAGCATTCCCGCAGCATGACGTCACCATCATCGAGTTTTAAAGTGGGATTTAGCTGATGTTCAGTGTTAGTTATCAGATTTTGATTCCTTAGATATTTGGGAAAACAACCTTTGCATCCTTTTTCATTCACCATAAAACACTAAATTATCTTTCCTTGTTCTGAACCCCAGAAAAATATATAGAAGTTTGGTGTTGCAATCTCAAAAAATGGGAAAAGTTTTAATCATTTTTAAAACTCTCATAGCTAAAAAAAAGAAAACGTTGCATTAGAGCATATATGGGCAAAATTACATAAATCGGAGCCGGATTTATTTTTTTTTTAGTTACATTAAAGTGTCTATATATTGTTTTTGTTGTTGTTTTTTTTTTATCTTCATTATAAAGGGACCAGAAAAGGCTGAATCGATTCACTGTAGCCGACCTGTGTGTCGTCTCCTTTATGCTCTCATGTTTTAAGTATTTATTTACCACATTCCCTGTTTTTTGAGCGTCTGGTAAATGGACCAAAAGTTTTGAACTAGCACATCTGCTGAAGTATTTTAACCAATAGAAGAAGAAGAAAAAAAAAAGACTTGTGTATATGCATTTTGCATTGAACTACTGATGTATTTATTTTGAACCTATTTATCTCTGTCCTGTGAAAATAGGTCATCTGAGCTTTTAAATCAAAGTGTTTGGAGCCATGCAGGCGGGGAAATCGTGTGGAAAAGATTGAAAAGTATCATATATTTTCATCCTTAGCTTATCTTGCTTTTAGTTGCCTTTAAAAAATCAGATTATGATTATATTTAAAAACCAAATCAATGCCTGAGATGTGCTTCTTCAACAGCATTGCGCATGGATTTAAAAAAACGAGGGTTAAAGTCAGCAGGGAGATGCTGATTCTGAATCAGGCAAGTATTTTGGACTGAAAATAAGTCACAAGTGTGCAGTTTTTTTATTTGTTTGTTTTTTAATGATTTTCATTTAGTAATAATAAAGCCTTAAGGTGAAACTTTGCTATGTCAAAGTTTTCAGACAGCTAATATGAAGAATAATATTCAGAAAGCGACATCATACACAGATGTATCCATCTGCCTTATTGGATAAGAAACACTATGTTAGGGTTTTATTAGGTACTAACAAAATGTTTAGTTCACATCTTGTCTGAACGTAAGGAACTAATATCTGTAGCTTTGATTTCCAATTGGTACTATCAAATAAAGCAAATGATCCTATGTTAAACTAAGACAATCTGGATGTTTCCTTTTTTTTGTTTGCTGAACAATGTCTCATAGATGTGTTTTTAT